AACGGATTTAACTGTTGTTGTATCATCAATCATGTATGCATGGAAGTTCTCATCTTCTTGCGTCGTTCCTCCTTCCATTTCTTTCTATTACTGCAATGGAGGGAAAGGAGAATGGCATTAGCAGCTGGGTCCTCCCGTCCGGATCCGGGGCCGAGGTGCGTTGCCTTTTTATTCATGGTACGCATTGCTCCGCTTTTGGGTCCTTCGATAAAATCATGGAGGGACCCTCTGCTGAGGGTGCAACGTGCCTTTCAGGGGCCTCTTGAAAAGGAGCAACCCTGCAACTAGTTTGGGCTCGTAGATTATTTGCTGCTGGTGCTGCATTTTTTTTTTCCCTTTATTGGTGCGGCTGTATGATTCCAAAATTTTGCCGGATGCGGTATTTAGCGAAATTATAAATGTAGTCGTCGATCGCTCGCTCACATGTTGGCTTTGTATGTTTTACGTCTATCATCATCATCACACGTATGAAATGATAATTTTTTTTTTTATCCCTTACATATTAGTTTTATATATCTTTTACATCCTTCACATATGAAATAATGATTTTTTATTTATCACAAATGGAAAATATATATTAGTTTTTACCAAAAATAAATGAATGAGGGTGAAAATTATTATTATTATAAAAAAAACTGGCGGATAAAATCTAATTTCGATATTAATTTAGCATTCTTTTTCTAAACTCATGCAGTTGATAGAAAAATTACTGGAGTATTTTTTTTTTTTTATATTAGCTATGGCACATTCTACTGCCACTAATTTTTCTCTTTGAACCCCCTTTTGTTAATTTTTTTTTTTTGAAAAATATCGAAATAGATTCTATGTGAAAAACTACACGGGGGGTTGAATTTTAGTATAATTTTGTAACTAAAAGTGGTGGTGGCCGATCGCGACGCCTCCAACACTGCGGCTGAAGGCAGCCATGCCTATTACCACAATCTTGGCTAGGAAAATAGAACGAAGAAAAAAGAAACGTAGAAATATGAGGAACGTCTTTCCCTTTTTCTATGCGATCTTTCAATTTTTCCCTAAAGTTTGTGAAGCATGAGTTTGACGTGAATTTTTTTCCCGGCAAACATATAATTAGATATGAGTCAAGAGATTAAAATCATCCGTTTTTCATTTGTGAGAGACAAAAAATCATCATTTTATACGTGAGGGACGTAAAAGTTACAAAGTCATTATGTGAGGGACGAAATATTATCATTTCATATACGAAGCACGTGAAAGATACAAAACCAATATTACCATTTCATGTAGTATGATATTATCCTTATTTCTTTTATCACAAAATGGACAACTGTATCTAAATATGAAATTTGAAGATTCTCCTTATTAGTTGATTTAATTTTTGTTAGAACTGAGACAGAAGAATAAAGTTCTTTTGTTAAACTGGAAATCAGATTCATGACTGGAAATTCCATCACTAGCTTTCTTTATCAAGCATTGGACAAATTCAAGGAAGACCTGTTGATTATAATGAGTGCATGTACCAGACCTCATCGCTGTGTAAATGCAATGGACGAGTTTGCGCAGAGGCCCAACATGCTGACCCCAGAGTATTAACAGAGAAGCAAATCTGGAAAGAATCAAGGCATGCAACTTTTCCCCCGAATATACAGCGTAAAAAGCGAATAGAATCTTCTAACATCAGTCAGGCACCTGGGCTTGTCGAAGTGTATTTACGCTAAAAACCAATTCATATTTATTGCCGTGCTATCTTTTACACTGACTGCAAAAAATCGTGCTTAAGCAATTACTCCATTGGGCTAATAAAATATAATCAATTCAAGTCTCTCATGAAACTCTTAATGCAACAAATTAAGCCAACAAAAAGAACAGCAGGGCAAAGGTAGCAGGCTAGCCCAAGATCTTCTTTGAGCACACGCAGATTTTATTTCACACGAGACTTGAGAAGTAGGTGGCCAGGGCCACGAGAATAGTGAAAAAGGCGCTAGCGTTTAGAGAGGATGCAGCCCCAGCCTGGATTTTGACCTTCATTCCCAACTTGCAGTGGTTGTCAATGGAGCAGATGAAGTAGTAAGGATCCGTTGAAGCAATGGTGAAGTTATAAGGGCTGCTTGTGTGAATCTCACCAATTGCATTTGTTGCGCTGCAGGCGTCATAGCCACTCTGGTTCACTTGGGCTACGGTGTGAGTGTTACTCCACTGGAAAACTGATAAAGCAGAAAAAACACTACTGAGCTGATCAACGGAGCTAGAATGGTAAGCTTAGCACGATCATCTTATCAACCCTCTTCTGATCAGTACAGGATAACATGTTACGAGTATTCATGCATGCTTTTTTGTTACTTACCTACGGTATCGCCAGCGGCAAAGTCTCTGGTGCCAGCCCAGGTTTTGTATGCAACAGAACCAGCAGGAGGGACAGTCCAACCGAGACTGTTTCCAACTGTATGTGTATCTGCAGTTGCTCCAATAAGCAGTGCTGCTGCAACCATCAAGTAACCGAATAGTACCATCTTCTGACTGGCCATTGAATTTCTATAGATTATATGTTCAGCAGGTCGCCCGCCAGTGCTTGCGTTGCTTTTTCTTCTCCTGTAAAGTTCTACCAGTAGCTAAAGAGATGATTCGTCGAGGCAAGACGCAAGTAACGTTTGGTTCTTATAGAAAATTAATGGAGTTGGAGAAAGTGGATGCTTAATTGATTGTGCCTTTCAAAGACCAAACATTAGTGTTAGATTTTGAAGCTTTCAATTAGGACAAGAATTTCATATCTTTCAAACAAAACGTCTGGTCCCGGAATTCTAGAGGGTTTGAGGCTGACAGGGGTCATCCTCCTGTGGCTTTTCTTTTACCCATTCTTGGTAGTATTTAATTAACAGAGCTTGCATCAACTACACAAGACTGGGAGACTATAGATGGGATCATGGAATCAACAATTGTGTGCGGAAAAACGCGTATAGATACCATACGTGCATTAGTTTCATGAGCTAAAAAGAACTTCTGTAATCTGTAATCTGTACGCATTAATCATAAAGAACTTCTGTACGTATTATAAGCTGCTAGGCTTCTTTCTTCCACTGATTTTCTGCCAAACCAAAAGACCAAATACCAAAGAAAGGCATCTCGGGCACTGGGCATTTTCCTATGTCAATTATATGAGATCCTTAAAGTCCAACTTTTAACAACCTGGTCTCGGTAAACAATCTAGGATTGCTATTTTTTTGGAGTTTCTGTTTTTTAAAAAATACGCTATAGAGATTTGATATACATAAGTTAAAAATTAATATGATTGAAAAATATGTTCAGGGAAAACGTAAAAATTTTTTCTTAGAAAATTACAATTCAAAAAATACCTTTAGACCGTGTGGATTGCTATTTTTAGGAGTTTTTGGAAAAAAAAAAAAAAAACTACTATAGCGATTTGATATATATGAAATAAAAAGGTAATTGAAAAATGTATTTAAAAAAGACGTAAAAATTTTTCTTTAGAAAACTACAGTACAAACATGGCCGAATTCCAACATTGTAGTGACAGTAAACTTCGTCCTTTCATTTATGTTCTACATAAAACTCTGCGTTTATATACTCTGTAACGTAGCATATACTTGTGAATCAGGGATCACTGAGTTTTTTATATTTTTTATTTTGTGCTTTTGCAAGTCCTTGACAGAGTTAGCCTAGCAATATTGACCTACTCTGCATTTTAGCAAATTCACATTTCAACATCTTGAATGTGTCCACTCCTCATCTTCAATGAAAAGTTATGGCGTTTGAGGGAACCTTCCAAAGGAAGCAGGTACAGCAGGAAAAGAGAAGAACCTCCCCATTGCTTTACCGCGTTTCCCCGAAACTGAAGCCTACGATATTCTTTAAACGCAAGCGCAATCGCAAAATATCTCTGAGAGTTAAAGTCTAAGAAAAAACTGTGATTATATCTCTTAGATCCTGCAATATGTGATGACGAGCTGATTTGAAGCAAAAATAAAGTTGGTTGTGAAAAATCAATTGATTTTTTTTTTTTTGAAGGAAAGATTAATTGGTTGTGAAGTCCCTCTTTCTTTTCCCAAGTCTGTGTCAGACTTTCTTTATCTGAAACATTCAGAACATCAGACTTTTATTTATTTTTTCCTAAGCCAAAACTTCCAACTTGAATATATTTTACGTCGCAAAAGTATCATATATCGAAAGATTTGCCACGTTGACTGTTCTTCTTTTTAAATTCGACATAAATCTGTGAAAACAAGAAAAGAAAATGCAACAGTAGTACTCTTGGGACTGCGTCATGAGAAATTCGTTAAAACAGATCAAAGCTGCATGCAGTACAGTGGCGGAGGTACAATTTTTCCAGCCATCAAAACGAGAAAAGAGAGCAAATTGAAAGAAAAGATTAATCTTCTAGAAGTGATGAGGATAGTCTCCTGATGATCCAAGCGCTGTCTTCATCTTCCACACACTTTACAAGTCATATTTAAAGAAAACATCTTTTTTTTTTCTAATAACTTATGTGCCAAAGCATTTAGGCCAATTTGGTTAGGGAGAAAAACAAAATTAAGGGTGAAATCTAAATTAAGAGACCATATACCATTTTTTTTTTCTTTTTAAAACTGCTAAATGCTAAAGAAGTACTGGAACCAGGTAGAATATAATTTGTCACCATGATTTTCTTGTAAAGGTTTGTGAGTAAAGTGGGTTATTAATTAAGGATATGGACTGTTGAATATCCAAAAAAACTCACGTTTCCACTCTTTTCTACCTTCATTGGAGTTGCAAACGAAAGAGTTTTTTAGTCTGCCTCCAAATCTCTTGTTTTTCTTCCAATCCAAATGGGTTATTGGCTTAATAGTCAGATGATGCGGGTGGGTGGTCAAGGTGGTCTGTTTTTCCCCTTGCATTTGGAAATTTTGGCACAAGCTAGACAAATAGTCAAATGCACGCACCTTTTCTCTCAATTACACAATTTATCAATCAAATCAATGGCTGAAAAATTGAAATATCACAATCAATCTAACGGAATAATACCGAACGGATGACTGAAAACTATGGAATTCAGTGTAATTATTCTATTTTTATTGGTATACAAAATGGTTCAATCTGAATAACAATAGCAGTAATGCCAAAATGGTAACAAAAATAAAATAATCGCAAACAATAAAAGTCGTCAATGGTCGCTAGCTAAATCTAATACAAGAAAGCCAAGGCAATCGACAAGAAAGTGAATGGCAACGCTGCTACTGCAAAAGATGGAGCAGAGTTTGGTGGAGGAGGAGCTGAGACACCACCTGGAGAACCAGACGGAGATGGAGTGGTAGAGCCAGAAGGTGACGTGTTAGGAGAGCCAGAGGGTGGTGGGGTGGAAGAGCTGGAAGGAGGAGTTGCGCTGGTCGATGAAGGAGCAGGAGCAGAGGCAGGGCCGGATGGAGTTGGCGATGGAGTGGCAGCAGTTCCGGTGACGTTGATGGCTAGCTTTTGGCCGAGTGAGCAGTGAGGAGGGATGGTGCATATGTAGAAATGTTGACCTGGGGTCAGGGTAATTCTGGCTGGACCGGTTTTCATTGTGGGTCCGGTGGCAGAGGTGTTGCAGGAATCATAGGCTGCCTTTGATGTCACCACAGCAACATCATGAGCTCCAGTTGTAAAGTTGAACACTGCATTATTAATGCAATATTGTGAAATATATGCATGTCAGTAACCAATAAAATTTGGCATATGTTCTAAGATAAGGAACAAAAATCAACGCTTTCAAGTCATTCGTGTTATTATACAAGTAGTTTTTATTTGGTTCTGATAAGATTGGAATGGATTTGCTTTACCTAGAATGTCGCCAACCATGAAAGTCTTGCCGGCTGCCCAAGTTCGGTAGGCAATGGAGCCAGCAGGAGGGACAGTCCAGCCCAAGCTATCTCCAACGACGTAAGTTTTTGGGTTTGTAGAGCTGGGGGAGGGTGCAGGAACAGGGGATTGAGGTGGTGGAGAGGTGGAAGGAGCGGCAGAAACATTGATAGCCAGCTTCATTCCCGCGTTACAGTGGCCTGAGAAGGTGCAAATGTAGTAGTGTTCCCCGGTAGTGTTTAAGGTGACGTTTGCTGGGCCGTTTCTGACGAGGGAGATGGGACTGGCGGTGTTGCATCCATCAAAAGATGTCCTACTCACCTGGGCTACATCATGTGATCCCGTTGTGAAGTTGAACACTGCACAATTAATTAATATCCAACACAAGCATGAGATGCGTATTAAATGCAGTGCAACACTATGATTATAAATTAGTCACGTTGTTTGTGTTTAGTAAGAGAAAAAGAAATGGTTGTGGTCGGAGGAGATGGTGCTTACCGAGAACATCTCCGACGGTGAAAGTCTGGCTGGCAGCCCAGGTGGTGTAGGCGACGGCGCCGCCAGGTGGGAATGTCCAACCCAATGAATCACCGACTACATGTGTTCTTTGTGCTACTGAGCACTGTAATGCAGCAGCTAGAACTGCAACAACGAGCAGTATGATATTAAACTTGCCTGCCATTTTGCCTGCCCTTTGCTGTGTTCTTGAACTTCAGATCGCCCCTACTTGAATTCACTTCCAAATCCGATTTGGTACTCTCTCTTGCTTTATGTGAAGAGAGCCTCAAAGTTTGTGGAGGTGGACAATTTGTTCCTCCGGTATTTATAGGGACTCTTGCACCAGGTCGTACCTCCAAGAAGCCGTGTCGTAGCCTCACAAACTGGAAAATCACATCCCCCACCCTAGAGAATTTAGGCACGCGAAATTTCGAACCAATCTAGAAAGAAAGAACACAGCCAACTAATGGACGTAGTTGAGATTGACTCTTAGTGTTTTTTTAATAAAAAGCCAAGTCATTCTTTAATTAGATTGGGGGCCAAACTGGTCCAACGGGTAGTGGTGGCCGTGTTTTGGGACTAATGAGTAATGACTATTTCGCATCTAAGGAGTTTTTTTATCTTCTTCTCGCGGGAATCATATCATATGAAAATAAATAACAAGTCGTGTCCTAGAAAGATCGCTCGTTTAGTTTGTGGCCGCCTGAACAGTGGGAACTGGTGAAATGCTTACCAACTTTCTTGAGACTTTTTCGATCCTCTCTTACTCGGTCATTGTCTTTGAATCTTAGTTTTGATTAATCTTTGCTTTCTTATTAATAAAATGTTACTCGCCTGATCTCAAATAATGAAATTATTTTTGTTTCTCCTTTTATCTGGATTGGAGTGAATGAAAGTGGGACGTTTTTCTTTTCTTCTACGTTTTTTTTTTTAATTAACAGAGTCAAGGTAAGAATTTTGAAAACAAAGTTGGAGGAATTTTGAAAATTAAACTACTACTACATACTTTCTCCCATCTTGTGAAGGTGGCCTCGGTCTTTAATTCCTACTCGGGGAAATTCTAGAAATACATAATCCTGATGCAGTAATTGATTGGAATGACTGCAATCGTCTTAATATATTTTAATAATTACGACAGGTTCAACTTTGGGAAATTCTGGAGTCAAAGTCTTCTGCACTTACCCAGTCGCACGGTAGAATAGCTAACTATCTATCTTTCGTCGTTTTCTTTATGGGGCACTATTAATGGTTTCAAGCAAGTTTGAACACCCAATGAGAATGCCGCAAATTGGATTGCTATTTTTTTTTACAATTTTTGTAAAAAAAAAAAAAAAAAGGCTTGTATTAAATTGATGTGTGTGAAATGACAAAATGATTAAAAAATGTGTTTACGAAAATTTTTTTCTTAGAGAACTACAAATCAAATAAGATCCGAACATATTAGATAAAGGGGTGTTACAAAGTGTTAAAAATTTGATCGCCAAACCATATATGAGAGGATTAATCAGGATTATATATATATATATATATATATATCATAGTGTATTATATTTTTGTTAAGTTCATTTCTAATCATTGTACAATTTATAAGTTAAAATTTGATATAACAAAATAAATAGCAGATGCTTTGATTTAGAGATTTTCACATGTAGAGTATCATTGTTTACCATTCCGTTAAATATAATTCATTTTCTTCCATGTGGAAAGAACTTCTTAAGTGGAGATGAATACCTAATTGACTTGTATTCTAATGCAGAAACACGTAAGATGAACACAAACGTTTCTACATTATAATGTACCGTGCATAATGCTCACATGCATGTGACAATTCGCGTTTTACGTATGAAAATTCAACATAAAATCTTTTCTTTCTTTCTTTCTTTTTTTTGGGCAGTATGAAATTTCCATTGATTAGCAAGAAAAAGAGTATACAAAGGTGTTTGTAAACAACCAAACACGTTCGCTGCTCCTATATGTATTAATCTTTTACTGCTGCAATTTGACATAAGTTTCAGTCCTTTTGTGCTGTCTATCGGGGAGTATTTCCCTGGTCTCTTTTTTTTTTTTCTTTTTTTCTAAAAAAAAACACAGGAAGCATTAATAGCACAATAATTACAAGTTGTGAGCAACTGCTCTAATGTCGTCCCTGGCTGCTTGCATGAGCCAGTTGGGGGAAGTCAACCTTGCAAATAAGTTCATTACAGAGTTCATTACGGGCAAATTTTGCTATTAAATGACTGACAAAGTTGCCTTCTCTTCTAGTCTAGTAAATGAGAAGCAACATTGACTAAAACCCTTCCTCAATCTGCTGAAAATCTTCCAAAATTGTTCCAATGCAGAGTTGTCTCCTGAGCATCGATCCCTCATTGATTTTGTCTATTACCGCGTTGCAATCAGATTGGATTTCAATCTTCTGCCATTGTTCATCTTTAGCATTTATTAGCGCTAATCTGACTGCCGTGGCTTCTTCCACCTTTGGGTCATAGCATTTATTCACTGAGCCTGCCCATGTAGCAACTAGCATCTATTCCCCTGGTCTGTTGAACTTGAGCGGTTATTTACTCGTTGGACCACCAATTTCTTTGCTAGTTGTCTGAAACAGTTACTGCTTTCATGCATTGTGTATCAGATATGGCGAGTCAGAAACTTGGCTCTATTTCAAGGGAGACACACTTCAGGCCTTATGAGAGATGTAGTAGCTGGATGGAGGAGAGTTCTGCTTACTGGTGCAAATTGGACTTTGGCAGTACAATAGGGCATTGCCCATAGTTGCTTTGATTTTTGATAGTGCATCTGACATTCTATAGTTACAAAGTGGAAACTTTTTCATAGTATAGGTTAACTTCTTTTCAAATCAACCATAGGTCCGTCCATAACACTTGATATTTTCAAGATTTAATAAAAAAAAATTTGGTAATTGTGCCAGATATATGTGTCCAAGTTCTTGACCAATGAAGTCATGTGCCTATGCGGCCACAAGTAAGTCGCGTCCAAAAACAAACAAAAAAGAAAAATTCAACCCTAACCATGATTTTTTTTTTGTTTTTTTGGTTGTCTCATTAATCAAGAAATTAGCACCCTTCCACAAATGTGCCAGATTGGGGACCAAATAGCACAAGAAAAAGTTTAATAGTAACAATTGAACAAGAAACACAATGATAAGTCAATACTGCAATGCCCTTTATTTTATTTTTCCTTTCTTTCACGAAACGACTTTCATTAGTTTAGTCAGTCCAAATTACGGCATTATCGTGCACTTGTACATTGATGTTTGAGCATTACTCCCAGTACTGTTACTCATGAAAACCTCTACTTTCTGCGTCAAAGTTTTTCGTTCTATGGATTTGAATTGTTTAATTCGGGTTCATTTAACAGCGATATGCTTGAATTGTTTGGAAGACTTTGTTGTTTGGCTCCGCCTGCAGCATTTAGCACAACATAAACGTACGTGTGCCGGAGAAGAATCTCTCCTCACCAAGTTACCAATGCTTGAGCAATAAAACACAAATAAAAAAAAAAGAGGAAGAGAACAGATTTTGTTGCATGGTGTTTATTAGTTTGATATGTTCATGGAGTTCACCGCAATTTCGAAGTTTAATCCAGGTACAAGGAATCAACAAGAAACATATTTATTGTCGATAAACAAACTGTATCGTCTAATGAATAATGATACCTCACCAATCCGTGTATTAAAAAAAAAAAAAAAGAATAAAAATGCTAAATACACAGATCAAGATCAATATCGAGGCAAAGAGAAATTAATGGGTAAAATGAGAATCCAACATATATAGGTTCTAAAAGACGAAGAGGGATGCGAAAGCAATAGCTAAGGAGGCGAAGAAGCTCAAGGCGGCATGACGGGGGGCTGAGTTGAAGGGAACGGGAGCCCCATTGGGTCCTCCAGCAGGAGAAAGTGCATTTGATGGAGGTTGGGCTATGCTGGGGGAGCCAAAGTCGGTGACGTTAATGGCTAGCTTTTGTCCCAGGCTACAATGCGTGAAGTATGTGGACGTGTAGAAATGTTCGCCGGCGGAAGTTAATATGATCCTCGCCGGACTGGTGCTTATGACTCTGAGAGGACTACTGGTGTCACAGCCGCTATAAGCTGACTTGGTCACCTCAGCCACATCTTGCGTTGCGTTGGCAAAGTTGAATACTGTATAAAGGGCAAGAATCAAGTTTTCGTTGGTAAGGAGAGAATCAAGTTTTTTTTTCCCCTTCAAATTTTGCCGATTATTGCGTGACTGATATTACTGCTACATTTTATTTGCATAAATTAATAGACCAATGACTATAATGCACTACGTGATGTTCTAGAATTAAATTCATTTGACTATGTTTGCTAAGCTGGATTTGCTTCAGTAGTCTTATTCCTAAGTAAATTCCTTGTTTTTGAAAAATTCATTCCTTCTAGAACGTGATTGAGGTTGTGTGTCCCCTAGTGTTGACTGTGGATTAAAAAAAAAAAAAGGTGTGACTTGGATAGCTTAATGAATATGAATTGATTATTTAGAAGAGCTAGACCATGCAACTCAAGATAACTTGCTAAATTTGATTAAATGGTGTTTTACAAGTGAAACAACCATTCAGGACAAAAAAAGTTGCGTACCTAGAATGTCTCCCACGGCGAACGTCTTGTCATACGCCCAAGTCTCATAAGCAATTGGACCACCTGGAGGGACAAGCCACCCAAGGAGATCTCCGACAATGTAGGTGACCGGCGCTCTTGGGGACGGAGGGACAGGACTAGAGCTTGGCGGTCCAGGAGATCCACTGGTCACAATGATGGCCAACTTTTGCCCTAAGAAACAGTGACTGTCCAAGGTGCTTATGAAGTAGTATTCTCCGGTGGAGTTAAGAGTGTAACTTGCCGGACCTGTTGTCTGAAGTGATAGAGGGTTCGTTGAATTGCATGTGTCAAAAGCTTCCTTGGTCACTCTAGCAACGTCTTGTTCTCCAGTAGTAAAATTGAACACTGCATAAAAAATCGTTTTGACAAACCCATCAAACTTCGGCGTGATCGATGATCATGCACAAATCTCAAGCTAAAATTCAGATGCACTAGATAACCGATATCTCAATTCAGTTAGATTTTTCAACTTAATTGACATCTCGGCGTATGCCTAAGAAGGGAAGTCATGGGTTTCAGTTTTTGCATTCAGACACAGAAAGAGAAGAACGACAATGAATGTTCTATACCTAGAGTGTCTCCCACGGCGAAAATCTTGTCGTAAGCCCAAGTCTCGTAAGCAATTTTACCACCAGGAGGGACAATCCACCCCAGATCATCTCCAACGATATAGGTGACTGGTGTTCTGGAAGCAGCAGGGGCAGGACTAGCACTTGGCCCGGAAGATGCTTGATTTACACTGATGGCCAACTTTTGCCCGAAGAAACAGTGCTCGTCTTGGGTGCTTATGAAATAGTACTCTCCGGCCGAGCTAAGAGTATAATTTGCTGGACCTGTTGTCTGAATCGATATGGGGTTGGTCGAATTGCAGGCATCAAATGCTTCCTTTGTAACTCTAGCAACGTCTTGTTGCCCAGTCGTGAAATTGAACACTGCAGATTTAATTAATTCATTACCAATTATTAAAACCACGCCATGCATGTCCATAACATAACTAATCACAAAAGAGAAAAGCTTGAAAATGATCAAAAGCAAAAAGCAGTTCTGTTGATTAATACATACGAAGAATGTCTCCCACGGAGAAGACTTGCAAGCCAGCCCAGGTGGAATAAGCAATGGAACCTCCTGGAGGTACTATCCATCCTAACCTATCTCCAACAACATGAACTCTTTGGGCGTCGATGGTGTATAGAGAAGATGCTAATGCTATCATAGCAACCGTTATAGCGGATAATGCCAACCTGTTATTCCTCATGGTTTTGGTTTTGGTTCAATACAAGTGACTTGGAAATGTGATTATAACTAAGGGCGCGACTGTGACATTGAAATGTGAGATATTTCAGCTCTGTATTTATAGAGATGCTCTGCTTGACTTCCAATAAGTAAAGAAAAGGAAACCGCAGACTTTAGAAGTTTCTCTAATTAATTCTCTTTCTCTGCGCTGATGAAACATATGTAACTTCTCCGAAACCAATTTATAAGTAATGATTTTATTGCGTAACGGCATATCTATCCTAACTTACTTCTATTCCTATTATAACCTATTCTAAGGGTAGTTCAACTGATTTGAGAGAACCGACGAGGACTGAACCATCATCTGACCGGAGATGCACCCGTATGAATTTAGAAAAAATCACATACATATTAATAGAAGGTAAAATTTAAACTCTTAGAACTCACATCCCATAATTCATTTGGTGGCCAACTCTACCAGAGAAAGTTGATTTATAAGTAATGATATTATGCTGACATTTTTTGTGCTGCCGAGGGGTCTACATTCTGGACTTGGAGGGGTACTGGGTCACGATTGTTGGCTTTTGTTTTCTGACATTTGAACTGCCTAGAGACTTTTTGATCAATTGGCGTAATAAGGAAGGAAATTTTAATTATCTGACAAGCAGCGAGAGACTGAGTCATTGAAATCAAAATCACGACTGTATCGGTTCACATACCAGGCTTTCTTTTTCTTTTGGTTTTAATCAATCAGGCCAAATTTGGCAGCGCAGAATGATGAACCTCAGCTCAGTTATAACATTAATTAGGGAAAACTGTGTCCAACTACTTTGAAGCTGACCAAACTTCTAGACATGAACTGAAAACTCCCCGAAATTATTGAATGACTAACCATGCAACATCCCACTCATTCTGACGACCTTCATTCCCTCGACTCTAGAGGGTTTTGATTGAACGACTACATGGAAGGTTCGCAATGACCCCGCGTGTCACCAATCAAAGCATTCCGAAATGAATCTTCTTCTTCTTCTTTTTTTTTTGGGTCACAAAAAGATGGCTTACATTTCCACATTTGGTGGAAGAAAAGCTTAGCACGTTTTGTGACGAAATTGAAAATGGTGTCGTAAAATAAGTCAAATTCCTCGCGTTTATTTATTTTTCTAGATCATCAACGAAAAGTTTAATGGATTGTGGTTCAAGAAAATCCTTGGCCAGCCTCTTCTGAATCCCCCTATGTGTTTCTTGACGTCTAGATCAATATGATTTCTTTCATCTTCCGGCAAAGACTCAAGGCAACAGTTGATTACTCGCGTTGGGAGAAATATAAAATTTTCTAGCATACATTCATTCATGACGAATAAACGCCTCCCCAAATTTTTCATAAAGAAGGTACAGTTGCTCTTCCATTGCACATCCTACATGTCTTGGCACTCTTTAAGTCTCCGACCATGCATCAAGTTCTAGAGTTTTGTGATGAGTCCTTTACTGCTTCAAATTAAACGAAGTTGGCCAGAAATAACTGATACGATAAAGATATATAGTTTGAGAAGTCGCCTAAGGGCTACGTTTCATCTCCTGCAATCTCTATCGGGGTGATTAGTAAACACATATCCATTTTCTAAGGTAATACTCTTATTAAGTTAGCCAATTGTCAAAAAAGGACGCATCTGGGTATGATATAAAATCACCGGTTTTCATCTGAAAAGTCTAAAGAAGTGGGCAAAAATATGGGAATTTCTGGGACAGGCACACGCGTATAGTCTATAGACTCCACCATAGTTTTTACCTTGTCAACCACGACCCGGAAGTGGAAGAGTTGTTAGCGAGCTGAGTAAGCTTTGTCATGCCATCTATGACGTTTTCATGATATATTTTTTTCAAGTCGGTTACAAATTTACAATAAACTATTCAACTACAGGTGAGTTATTTTGGTATAGTTTCTACTGTTCGAATGGGTAAAAGCCCAGCCTGGGAGAGAAGGTCTCTAGTTAAATGTCATACTCAAACCTACGTACGTAGCTAGGTAGCTTATTTACGGCTTGTTATTAGACGATGAAAGTTTAACTTATTATGATTATTCTACAACTAAAAAAGCTGTTCTGAGGTGTTCATATTCTCTTTTGACTTATGTTCCTTAACACATTTTTTTCCAACCGAAAAGCAAGGATAGTCAAAATTGCTATTGGAATTTTTACTCTTCAAAAACAATTTCACTGAACTCTCTCGAGATTTTGAAAATTACACCTGTCTCCTATACTCATCTAAAATGATAATATTAATCTTACTATTTTAATAAAACTCCCTTGTCATGTATGTATACACAAAGAATGGGATTTATAATTTTCTCTCCTTATGCCTTTTTTTTTATATTTTGAGAGTAAAACCACAAAACTATAAATGCTAACCCTAGTTGCGATTTTGAATGTGATTCAGTTTTTTAGTTGATCCTTTTTTTATGTATCAAAATCAATAATAACTTTAAAAAGAAGCTGTCCAAGACTACTATTAGATTTGGATAGTTCCAATAATCCAAAAATCTACAAACTCCAAAAGGATAATGATGATACTTTCTTCTCCAATTTAAAAAAAAATATATAGTATATACCACTAATGCATCACGTGAAGTTGCTTATGATCACGATAAAATTAGTGTAATAATTGCTTATCAAATAATAAATATGAGTATTAAAGACTTGAACTTTTTGAAAGAGATTTGACAATGTTCAACTTCAGATTAATCGAGTCGAATGCAGTCACCGGACACCGAGAAGTTTACGTTATAAAAAAAAAAAAAAAACCACCAGACCAACCTTAACCAATTCATTCGAAGGATATGGCCGGACTAATCCTTCAGCCATCTAGTAATTAGGAGCTATTGTTTGTTCGTTTTGGGAACGGGAATACCGTATCTTCTACTAGTACTCAAAATAAAAGATCACTACGTGGACGATAGTAGCTCCGTATTAGTATTGTTTGACTGGTGTGTAACTTACTTGACTTGGCTTTCAAATGAAAGATCCAACTTTTCTGATTTCTCCGCTGTGTCTAGTTCCCTTATGCAGAAATAAGAAAAATATTTAATAGTTCAGATAAGAAAGAAGGTATTTATGAAGGATTTATTGAGAGAAACATTGAGATAAAATAAAACTGCGCAGCAATCATTCATCGAATAAGTACAGGGACTCCGATGTCATAGTTTACCGGCACCACTACAACTACTCCTGGCAGTGGCGTCCACAAAGAGTAGTGCGAGCTGTGTACAGCGACGGGACATATACTCTGATAAGATTAGAACTAGATACATATACAAGCAAACGTAATCAATCGTATCATTACTTATTAGACGTGCTAATGGTACGTGAATACTAGCAAAAGAAAGCCGCGAAAACGGACAGAAATATCAAAGAAGCAGCAGCAACGGCCCGAGTTGGGGTAGCAGAGCTTGGTGGCGGTGGAGGCGAGAAAGTACCACTACCGGGGGACGACCGAGGTGCGGGGCTGCCGGAGGGTGTTCCAGCAGAAGATCCAACGCTGACTACTAGCTTTTGCCCCTGAGAACAGTGGAGGGTGCATATGTAATAAGATGTCCCAGCGGCCAGGGTGAAGGTGGCCGGACCATTTACTTGATTGCTTATGGTATTGGCTGTGTTGCAATTGTCGTAAGCGTTCTGTACAACTTGGGCTGCGGTGTGTGCTCCGGTCGTGAAGTCGAACACTGCAACCCATGTAGCATATCGGAACAGCAGATTATTATTACCCCCAATATTTAAAAAAAAAAAAAGAAAAGAAAAAAGATCCAAATCTTTTTCAATTACTGGTTGTTATCATTGACTTCATCAAGTTCGAAAATGGTTGAAATAACAAAAAGCTACCAATTTACGCTGCTACATGCTACAGCTTAAGTTCCAGCCAGCCTTCCACTAGGTCTAGGAACCAAAATTTAAGTTGACTGGAACAAGCACAAGAAATAATTCACGAATAGTTTTTGTAAACGAATCTAATTGGATCGAACTCTTCCTTGACTGTTAGGTTTGCTTCCAATTTTTTAAGCAGCTATCCGGACTCCGGAATATACAAATATACAAACACTCAATCTTACTTCTACCGGGCCAAGGAGTTCAGATGGGCCAAAAAAACTTACCCAGACTATCCCCAGCAACGAAAGTGTGTTGGGCAGCCCAGTTGGAATAGTTATACCCACCAGAGGGGACTTGCCAGCCGAAGGTGTCCCCTACGTGGTACGTGGTGGCTGCTAAGGTGTGAACTACTAGCGCAGCAGCTGCCACCACCATGATTTCCATTACCACCAACGAATCCTTTGCTCCGGCCATCCTTTGCTTCTCCCTGCGTCCTCCGGCCACCCTACTTCTTTATGTTGAAATTTGAGGACTGTAAAACTACTCATTGGTGCCTGCTCTTTATATAGGACGAAAGCCAAGGATAAAGAAGCCTCGTAGTCATGGGGAGTTGGTAGGGAGGGCCATTTCATCGTCAATTGACAAATGCCTCCATAATATGGATACGTAATGCAATAGTATAATTCACTTTGGTTGGCCTACGTTTGTTGCGAAATGAGGAGTAAGCAATTGGATCAGCAATCGGCAGATGTCAACTCATGGGGAGGGCATCCATTTAAGTAATCGCTGGAACAATTCAAAGATTTGTAACAATTCAATGATGCTCTACTATTATCTGCAGTTAGTGAAGATAACGAGTAGTATTGATCGGTTGTCTGTGTGATATTATTGCCCTTTACCTTGAATGAATCACTTTTTATTAGGGCATAGACAAACAATAATGTATGTAGCCAGGGTCTTAAAAAATTGATCTGGGGTTGAACTGAAAACATGATGGGAAGGCAACTCGGTGGCATCGAGAATGTATCTCCCAGGTTTTATGTTGCTTGTATTGTATGACGAAGGCCCAGTGAATTCCACGACTATTTCAATTAGCACCAACCAAAATCTTTTACTAATAAACGTTGCAGATTGATTCATTACTTCCGGAGATACCGACCATAATTTAATATGGAAAGTCTGCTGTTTTCAAGCATGTTGTCGGATCACATCTCTAAGCAATCAATATTTTTATCATTTTAACCAATCTTTTCAACCAAACATCGAAATAAAGAAAAAAAAAATCCCATGTTTTTACCACTGATTATGAGAATTATATCCCACACATACAAACATGATGTTAGTTTTTTTTTTTTTTTTTTTGTCACAACAATAACAGTTGTATAACCTACTCTAACCTAGTATAGGGAAAGGGAGAGTATAATAGCCTAGTCTAGGGAAAGGGAGAGTATAATCGACGGAAAACCCTATAAGAGGAAGTCGCACGAAGGTGGCAGTTACAATTAAGTTGCAAGTACGGTGGAAGGTAAGGATTGAAATTTGGGGTTACCAACAGGTATTAGTTAATTTGCTCAGTATTATTGAACTCATTGGCCTGACACTTGGGTAACTAGTTGACTGACTCTGTATTTTCTTGGTGCTCTTGGTAAAGACAACCAAAGTTTTGTCGGCACCGTTCGATATTTTGATTCAACATATTAAATAAGGGTAGATTGTACATTACCCTCAAATAGTTTAATGCTTTTCTAAATAACTTTCTTATGATTTTTAAAATCTTCAAATGATCCCTTTATGGTTAACAAATAATTTTTATTTTGACATCGAGATATTTTAATCAGCTCCGTTAGGAATGGCAGGTTCCATCATTTTGTGACTTAAATTTATACTATATAACTTTTGAAACTGTAGAAGAGTTATATGAAAAAGTTCTAAACAACAATGAAGGAAGTGTAATTTATCCTATTAATAAAAAAGGTTCAGATCACATCAAATCAAAAGAAGATTAACTTCAAAGCAATCCGTCAATCAGGGAAGAAATTGTAAGAGAGGCATGGCCATTGTACCATGGTTCTTCGCATTTCTACTCAAGAATTGCCACATTATCAAATTAAAATTCGTACACAGAATCCATCAAGAAATCCAGCTGAAATAGGGCAGCTTTTATTTATCTCCATAAATCTATAATCCGTCAATCAATATAATCACACCCAAAAAAAAATATCAAAATCAAGTCACACCGAACATATGTATCAACCACTAAAAGGATGACAGTGTACACCAAAAATATCCCCAGAAACCTAACACGTAACACCAATGACAAATGACAAAAGCATGACTAATAAAGTAGCTGTAGCTGTGGCCGTGACAGGGGCAGAACTTGGCGGAGGAGAGCTCGAACCCCCACCAGGTGCCCCACCGGGCGAGGTGGGTGTAGGAGCTCCTCCGGGACCAGAAGCTCCTCCGGGACCAGGAGCACTTGAAGGTGTAGAAGCTCCTCCGGGACCAGGAGCTGGTGAGGATGACGGCACTGATGCTGGAGATGGTGCTGGCACTGATGCTGGAGTAGGTGCTGGACCCGCTGGTGTTTTTGGTGCTGGGGCTGGTGTTGCTGCTGCTGGTGTTTTTGCTGGTGCTGGTGCCGAAGTCGGTGGTGCAGGTGTAGTTGACGGTGTTGATGCTGGCGGAGGTGTGGATGAGGGTGGAGGTGTGGATGCTGATGGAGGTGTTGATGGTGGCGATGATGCTGGTGGAGGGGTGGCTTTAGGAGCTGGAGCTGGAGCTGCACCACCTCCTGAAACGGAGACGGTCAATTTTTGTCCCAAGGAACAGTGCTGGGCGAAGGTGCAAATGAAATATGCCTGCCCTGGGGAGGTTAGATTGATTCTTGCCGGACCAACAGTTTGTAGTGAGATGGGATTGCTTGAGGTGCATCCGTCATAACTTGCCTTTGGAACTACGGCCACATCGTGAGCCCCAGTTGCGAAGTTAAAAACTGCAACAATTTACAAAGTTTCACTACTCATTTATCAAGACACTCGAAATCCTAACCTGTATCATCAAACTGAACACAAAAAAAAAAATCTGATGCCAATTATGCAAGAATTTTATATTACTAGTTTCATAGCAGCATCGATCCATTCTAAGTCCAACAAAAACGAAATCAAGAAAAGCTGCTAAACAAATCTATTCAGGGTTCAGCGTGCCCTGTGACAAAGATGTAGGGGCAGGGTACATAAATATCTCGTACGTACCTAAGATATCACCAACTTTGAAGGTATGTTGAGAAGCCCAGTTGGGATAGACCGAAGAACTGGAGGGGATTGCCCAGCCCAAGCTGTCCCCGACCACATGAGTTGCCGCATCGGTGTTTCCTAGAATAGCAGCGGCTAGAATTACCAAAAGTGGAACTGCTGCAAAGGTGGTACTTGCAGCCATATTTTCCTCTAGCTAGAGGGGCTACTTATGTGTTCTCAAGTCGACCCCTGCCTGAAGCTTTCTAAGCTTTTGCTAATCGTGGGATCCTGCTCAAGCGTTCAACAAGAACCCTTCCGTTTCAACCGGGGAAATCAAATACTATAATAGATTATAGAGAGAGAGAGAGAGAGAGAGAGAGAGAGGAAACACAAAAAGAAAAGGACGTGTGACGAGTAGGCTGAATTTTCCTTGGAAGTGTGTGGGAGGAGGAAGAGGATATAGGGGGTCTCGAAAGGATAGATTCCACGTGGAGTGGTAATAGTGCGTCAGTGGTAGCTAGGGATTGGCTATTGAATTGTTGAGCTGTTGCTGAACGATTACCCGCATCAGCAATTCAGCAAACGGTAGAAACACGGAGATTTTTGCTCCAACTAGTGGTCTTCCAACTCAACTGTTCATCGCTCGGTGCGTTTGACTGGGGTTGGAAAATGCTTTGCCCACAAACATTGCAAAAGAGGCCTTTGATTTTTCAAGTGCCTAATGAATGTCGGGCGGTGTTAGTGTCATAATCTATAAATTTTGCTAATTCTTGAATAAAATACGAAGCTTGTCTTTTTTCAAGTCAAAATGAAACGTAGATTGCAAAAAGAAGTCAAAATTCCGACCGTGATAATATCATCATCATTTGCTAATGCACATGCGTGTCCGATCTTCACAGGCGTGGAGTTGCTCTTACCAAAAATATCAACCACGGATATGGTCGTGCAAATTCAAGCAGAAATCCTGGGTGGAGAACGGAATAGACAGCAAAGCATGCCACCTGATGGGCATGGCTGTAGCCTGTAATGAAGGGGTACGAGAGTACTGTATTTTCACCGGGAAGCGTGACTTTTCTAGTATTTGGAGTTAGTCTGCCGTCGGTCGGCATGCCTTTATGAAAGTGGTGATCAAGGCCCACCACGCGTTTTTACCGGTTCAAACTTTAGAAGTCAGCACAGACCGACCGCTTTCTACAGTTTTTTTTTTTTTTTTTTTGGTGAAAGAGGACGATTAATAATTATTATATAACTTATCTATTTTAAATTAGAGGGAGACTTTGTATTAGGAGCTAATAGATACATAAATTTTACTAGATTAAGAGAGTATTTTATCTTAATTTTTAGAATTTAATTTACTATGAATGGGATCTAAACCCCCACTAACAGTCCAAACAGGATTTTAAAACCCAAGCTCAGTGGTTACCGCTTTCTACAGTTGAAATGTCGAACAAATTAGCTTATGGTTCTGAACACTGAACTACGAGAAGATAAGAGTGTGTTATCCCTTTGAAATGTCAACGAAATCTAACGGCTTAAGGGTCACCATTTGTCCCGAAGATGGTTGGCTGAGGAACCCTCTTCACTTCTTTTTTGTTTGGCATGGAGTCGTTTCGTACGATACAATATGAGCCTAGTGAAAAAATCTAAATACATCAATATATAATAAATATTAATTTTTTTTCGCAACAGCGACAATCTACTGCACTACTGATTTTTTTTTTTATTGTTTTATATGGAATCTTTTTGTTTCGTATGGAGTCGTTTCATATAATATGAGTCTAGTAAGAAAAACTAAATAAATCAATACGTGACAAATATAATTTTTGCTTTTTTGCAATGGCAACAATCTAGTGCACTGCTATACTTCCTTATCATTTCATGCAATATGAGCTTAGTAAGAAATATCTTGTTCCAATACATTTGTCTTTACAGAAAGTAAGCATGTTTTTGCAAATAAACCTAATCCCCACAGTAACTTCAAAAGCCGGCAACTTTTAAAGTCCTGCGAGGGACTTATCTACCCAAACATCCCAACCCCCCAACCGATGTGGGATAGAAAACCCCACAGGGTGCCCTGCTGCTAAGAGATATCTAAATACATCAACACATAACAAATATAACTTTTTTTTTTTGAACTACAACAATTAAGTGCATTGCTATACTTCCTTGTGATGCATTAAACAGACTATTATACTTTTTTATGATGCACTAGACATAATTTAAATCTCACACCTAGTGTGCGGGAGAGATTTAAAGTGGCTCTCCTCGACCATTGGACCAATGCCCAATGGTTACGTAACAACCATTAACGTGAAGTATTCAACTGAACGAAGAAAACCTTCTAGTCCAATTTCTTGATATACATATCATTGTAGGCCAATTGACAAGGACTTGGGTAGTGTTTTCTCTGGCAATGACCAAAAGCCATAAAAGATGTACAGTCCACATCCATGAAGGAACCAAGAAATACAAATCGGACATGCCATCAAGTTGAAGGCACTGAGGCCATGCCTTTATGCGCGGCGGGCCGGGGAGCCAAGCTTGGTGGGGGTGAAAAGATGTTTGTTCTCCCCCCCCGGCGGCGGGGGCGGGTTTTTTGATTCATTGGCGTAGTCAAATTAATGGCATTTTCCATCCTATAGAAAAAGATCTTCTTTTTATTTCTTTATTTGAAAAAATAAAAGTAAAAAGTGATGACATCTGAAGCTTTAGCCTTTAAGCATCTTTAAAAAAAAAAAAGGTTTATTTTATAGTTGTTTAAAGCGAAAATTGAGAACTGCAAAAACAAATTCTATAGGAGAAAAAGTGCTCCTACAATGGAAAATTAGTGAGGGCAATTCTGCTTGCATCCTTTAAAGTTTGTACAACTACAAAAGTCTACTTTGTGTTACCAATTACTACGTTGAAATCCCCTATTATTTGTTTGACATTATGGTTAAAAAAGTAATGGATATATTTTCGCTGGAATTACGTTGTGTCAAGATAATCTTGAAGCGCAACAGATCTTCTGTCTCACATCCTGTGTCACTCTCTGTCCCACTTTTTATTATATTGTTATCTCTCCTTCATAAACAGCATGTTTTAATTCTTTTTTATTTTCTTAAAATCCAATAACTATTAATTCAGTAATACACAAAATTTAACAAATTCAAAAAATAAAATGCATAAAAAATGAGATTTTTTATGAATTTTCTGCTGTATTTTTAATTTTCTATTATATATTACTTTTTTTAAGCTGTTGTATTTATTTTTTACTGAATTAATAATTATTGGATCTTAAGGAAACAAAAAAAGAATTAAAACATACTGTTTATGAAGGAGAAATAGTAATATAATAAAAAATGAGACAGAGAGTGACACAGAATGTAGGACAGAAGATCCGTTGCTATCTTGAAGTAATGGAACATCTTAAGATAAGATATATCAACATGGAGAAGAAGGCTTAGAAAAATGGAGCTTCAAAAATTCGGAGGAATTGTTACCATTAAACACGTACAGAGGAATTAAATACGCCATTAGCTATCAAAACTGGCTTTTGGGGTACGATCAAAAGGTTTCCTTTCCAATAGAAACTCGACGCTCTTCTTCCCCGGGGTCCACCTCTCTATGCAGATGGCAATTGAGGAAACTGCCAACACCTTCCAATCAGAATCAAGGCATATTTTTACTTTGTAGAGAATTTTAGAAAAAAAAAGGTGTATCAGGTGGAATAATTCACCCACTATTTATTTCCCATAAAAGAAAGACAAGAAGAGGCCGTTCACATCTATTTCCTAATCATCTCCAACCAACCCAAGTCAAGATGAAATTATTTTTGGAGATCCATATGTATATATTTATGCTGCTCTCTTTTTGGCAAAAAAGGAAAGATTACACCAATTATTTCTCACATATTGTTGATGATAAATTTAGTTCATCAAATTCAAAATGACCAATTTTAGTTCCTAATAAATAAAACTCACATATTTTTTACGTGGTCAGTATTTAAAAGGCAACTCTGATAACTCACTTAATGTTAACTTAAAATTTTCACTTAATCTACTATTTCTCCTAATTTTTCTTCACTCAAACCCTTATTTCACAAATCCAAAAATATATACACACACCTCCCACTCTTACCATCATCTTCCCCACTATTCCCATTTTCACTTACTGTCACCTTTGACCTCTTCTCACTCCTTTCTTGCCACCGCTTTCTCTTCTACCTCTCTCTTCCTTAGTTTTCTCCTACTTCTCCCTGCTCATTTTTCTCTAACCACCACTCATCCTGCCACCTCTTCTTATTTTCTTCCCTCCTCTTTCTTTCCTACTCTCTCCTCCTTTACTTTCCCATTATTCCTTGCTTTCTCTTTTCTTCTTTCTCTTCTTCTTCTTAACTTTTGTCTCTCCATACTCCCCTTTTCCCCAACGATTTGGTTGTGTTGCAAATAAGGGAAAAAGAGAGGCACCAGAGAAGGAGAAAGGGGAAAAAAGAGTGGCAAGGAAAAAAAAATGAGACAAAAGAATGATAAAGTGGGAGAAGAAGAGAAGAATAGAGGGAGAAAAAAAATAGGTGATAGGAGAAGGAGTGAAAGAGAATCAAGAGTGCTGATGGAAGTAAAACGGTGGTGAAAGATGAAAATGGATGTGTGTATTTTCAGGTTTGTGAAATTAGGGTTTAGATGGAGAAGAATTTAGAAAAATGATAGATTAAGGTTCCGTTTGATAAAACTGAATCTGAATTCTGAAGTCTGCATCCTGAAATCTGAAATCTGAATACTAAAACAATTAATTTGCTGAATTTTAAGCACTGAAAAAAATATATGAATGTCTGAATTTTAATGCTAAACCTATTTATACTGTTTGATAAATATTTATAGCTGAATGCTTAATAAGTTTAATTTGACAATTTTGCCCTTATATCCTTTCATTCAAAAAAGAAATAGAATCTATGATTTAATTAGTTTAAAAGTATTAGGTATGAAAATGATAATATTTATTTTTAAATCAAATTAATATAAAAGATGAAATATATTATATGAGGAGTATGGAGAAGATGTGAAAGTCATTAAAAAGAGAGAAAAGGAAAACTAAAAATCGTTAGATAAAGAATATTATGTTGTTTAATTAGATGAGAATTTTGAACATAATTAACAAACAAAGATAGATTTGGTAGATAAGATAATATAGTTAAAATAATTCTATTGATTTTTATCAGAATTAAGCATTCAATTAGGATTCCTGTACTGAAAAAAATACACACAGGTTCAGCACTGCTTAACAAGTTCAGCAAATAGATTTTCATTTATCAAACACTCAAAACATCTGAATGTCTGAAAAAATTCAGATTCAGCACTTTTTTATGTTATGAAACAGACCATAAGTCAGCAATTGTATTAAGTAAATTGTCTGATTTGGCATTTAAATATTGACCATGTGAAATGTTCTAACTTATTTCGGCCAAAATTTGACTTGAAAGGCAACAAAAGACCAAAAAAAGTATTTTAGTCCTAACAAATAAAAAATACTTTTTTTAATTCCCTATAGA